TGAGTCAGTCTCTTTGTAGCCCCGAGTGTCCTGGAACTCACTTATGTAAACCAGGCTGCTTGAACTCACAGAGATCTGCCTGCCTCTGCCTCTCAAGTCCTGGGATTAAAGGCATGCACCACCATGCCCAGTGGGAAGACCCTATCCTAAAGGCTCTTTGGTGATACTGAGGGTGTTTTTTGCTATTTTGTTGGTATTTTTTTAATTTATTTTTTAATGTGTATGAATGTTCTGCCTGCATAAGTGCACCATATGTGTGCAGTGTCCATTGAGGCCAGAAGAGGGCGTGGGATCCCCTGGAACCTGTAGCTACAGACAGTTGTTAGCCACCATATTGGTGCTAAGAACTGAACCCAAGTCCTTTACAACAGCAGTCAGTGCTCTTAACTGTGGAGACATCCCTCCAGCCCCCAGAGATACTGATTTATCAACTTAAGGTTTTATCTGATTTATGTTATTTAATTAGTTTTTTTTTATTTTATGTTTTTGAGTATCTTGTCTGCAAGCATTTGTCTATCGTGTGAGCAGTGCCTGTGAACAGAAGAGGGCGATGGATCCTCTGGAACTCTAGTGAAGGAATGTTGCTAGCCTCCATGTGTGAACTGAACTTGGGTCCTCTGCAAACGCAGCCAGTGTCATAACTGCTAAGTCAGTGAGCATGGCGGCACATGCTTTTAATCTCAGGACTTGGGAGGCAGATTCAGGTGAATCTCTGAGTTCAACAGTCAGCCTGGTCTAGACTGTAGTGAGTTCTGGGTCAGCCAGGCTTATATAGTGAGACCTATCTCAAGAACAAAACAAAAACAAAACCACTGACTAATCTCTCTAGCCCAATTATGTTCTTTTTTTTTTTTCAACTTTATTTATTGTGGTGAGGCAGGGGTAGAGGTCAAGAAACTTTGTGGAGTTGATTCTTTCAGTCTTCATATGAGTTCTAGATTTCAGACCTTAGGTGATTGGGCTTGCCAGGCAAGTATTCTACCTCTTGAATCATCTCTTTTACCACTAATTTATTAGTATTTTTCTTCTTTTTTAAAAATTAATTCAACCCCTCTCCCCACTACCTTCCCCATGTCATGTCCTCCATTACCTGTCCTTTTTAATTTTTATTTCTACAGCCTATCAGTTCCATTCCATGCTTCCCATGTGCTCCTCAGTGTGGGTACATGCTCTGGAGTCTGGTCAGCCTATCAGACCTTGTATTAGTAAGGAAAACTGACTGACCCTCTCCCAGCATCCATCAGTTGCGAATGGTTACATAGCTAGGGCTGGAGCTTGCTGCCCACCCTCCAGCCCCTCTAGCCATTCTGGGCCCCTGTCTGGCTTGGGTTTCCTCAAGTTCTGTGCATGCTGTCATAGCACTGTGGGTTCAAATGTGTAACTACCCTGTGGTGTCCATACAACAGTTTCCTTGTATTCATCTACCACCTCTGGCTCTTAGAATCTTTACACCCACTCTTCTGCAATGAACCCTAAGCCTTGAGAGAAAGTGTGATATAGATGTCCCATTTACAACTAAGCACACCAGAGTTTGTTATTCTCTGCACTTTGACATTTGTCAGTCTCTGTGTTAATCACCATCTACTATAAGAAGAATCTTCTCTGGTGAGAGATGAGAGCCTTACTGCAGTCACCGCCAGCAGCGGCCGCTCCTCCATTCTCATGGGCGTTGAGGCTGCTCCTCCGCTCGCCCTGGGCTGAGGCAGCTCTTCTGCTCGCCCGGTGCCGCCTTCTGTTGTCGCTGCTTCTTCCCGGTCCCAGACCCCAGGGCTGGTGAGGAGACTGTGTCAGCAGAGCCGCATTCAGACACAGGAGACCAGGTTCAGTGACATAGATCCACTTTATTGCAGGAAGGCACAAGCTTATATAGGGGTAGTGGTCCAATCACAGCACAACAAGTAGGATACCTTATTAGCATAACAGGTTTAGCGTCCTATCACAGTACATCAAGTAGGATACCTTATTAGCATAATGGGTTTCAGATTACAGAGCCTGAATTCCTGAAAACCACATGACCCTGACTGTTGCAATGTCTAAGTGTTGCAATTTGGAATTCCAAGGGTGGTAATTAGGGAGTGGTGAGCTCTAGGCATCAGTCTCATGATCTGGCAATGGGAGCAAATGTCACAAGGCATTTCTTGTGGCTCTAGCTGTCGGGATGTTGCTTCAGTCCTGCTGTATGGCTGTCAATAAGACTTTCACCCTCGGCTCAAGCCTGTCTCCCACACCTTACTAATGTACGGGTATAACAATGAGTCTAATATTGTGTCTGTTTAGCAAATGATAGGTAGTAGGTTCTTCTCTGTGACCTGTGACTTGTTTAGCCACAGGTTCTTGCCCTGATCACAGTTTCAGATATGGACTCTGTATATTGAAGCAGACCTTAAATCCAATTAGAAGTTGGCTGGTTACTCCCATATCTGTGCCACTGTTCCACCAGGGGGCATATTATATTTTGTGAAGCCAGTTATGTAGCTGGCAGAGTTCACAGATGGGTAAGGCTGATGATTGCCTTTCTCTGTCAGTAACATGCATAGCACCTTCCAGTATTATGAAAGCTAGCCAGCAGAGATGTAGTGTCAAGGTCAGTACCAGCTTGACTTCTCCTTGTTTATTCTACAACTCAGGTTAATTTAATGACTTTAGCAATAGGACCTTTTCTCATGTTCTGGTGGGTAACCAGGTGCAGTGACAGAGTCGGTATTGTTTGAGGGTCTTTGGGACCTCTCTGGTCTCAACAACTCCAAAAAAGGGAGTACATTTCTGGCCCTGGGCTTTGCATTTACTAGCTTGTGGTGTTTATTAGGACTATTTAATCCTTATTATATAGAGTAGGTACACGTAAACTCTTCATACTGTTTGTATGTATGTTGAGAGAAGCTTTCATATCAGGTTTCCACATGGGTCTTGAAAAGGCCTTTAGTGTTAGTTATCCTTCCTTTTATTCCCTACTTCTGCCATACCCTCCCATTCCCCACCCCATTAAGCCCATCCTATTATTCCCCTTAAAAGATCATTTGACCTTGCTATATGGTGAGTGGATTGCAATAGCAGTTTTCATTTGACAAATGGTCTGAGTACACTGATTCTGAACATATTTTGGAGGGTCAGCACTGTTAAACTATTTTTATATTTATAAAAGATGCTGTCTTTTATTCTGGATCTCTTATGACACAATAAATCTACCCAGAATCAATATGTTGTGTGGTAGTGTCATTGATCTGACAACTAATGCAATATGATTGTGTATTCATGTATTTTCCAATTTTTTTCTATTTTAATTTCTAACTTGGTAAATATCAATAGGTATAACATAAACCAGAGCCCTTAGGGTTCTCAAACATTTTCAACTCTATGAAGTAGTTCTGAAAAACAACCACAAAGAAAGTGAAATTTTAGATTACAAGTAGAGCAGAAGCAGCTAGGCCACTTAGAATTATTGCAGTAGTCCAGGTGGGAGATGCTGGTCCCATCAGTGGAAAAGGGTATGAAGATGAAAAATTGTTGAGCTTATTAATGTTTGTTTTGCTTTGTTTTGTTTAAAGGCTAATAGAACTTATGAATGAATATTGTGAGTTTTAAAAGAGTCATCAATTCATATTTTTGTCCAACATAATTACATTCTTGGTGGTAACAGTGGATAAAGGTTTTTTAGGTGAACAAATTATAATTATTCCCTTGTATATATTACTATACATCTTTTGTTTGAATCCATCATTTATTTCTTTGGAAGAAAGAAAACACCACTTGTTCCTTTGAGATAGACACTGGAATAAAATCATTCATATTTATATTCTGTACAACATTCATACAGTGGTTCACAGTGTAAGATGACTATCACACAATAGTCAGTAAATATACTTGAAGAAACAAGTGTTTTACCAAATAATTATGCTAAATTATAAACTAAAATTTGTGTATAATTGGTGTACCTGTCTATACTACTGAGTTGTTTGGGAAGAAAATTAATTCTCCTGGAATTTGTAGCTTCTATACAACAACAAAGCTTCACCAGACATGGTGGCACATACCTTTAATCCCAGTACTCGGGAGGAAGAGGCAGGTGGATCTCTTGAGTTCAAGGCTAGCCTAGTCTATGTAGCGAGTTTCAAGTGAGCTGGGGCTGCAAGGTGACCCTGTCTCGAAAATAACAAAAAGACAAAAACAAAAAAAAACCCAAACAAACAAAAACAAAGCTTCTAAATTTCTTCTTAGGTCTATTTCTCAAAAAGAAAATTATATGTAATCGTTTTTATCAATAAGAGCAATACAGGATCATATGGGAGATTGTATTCTAATAAAATGCCATACTTTTTATATAATAGCAGTTGTAAGTTATCACTATGCTTTAGTTTTGTTTGAAAAATAATATTCTGGATTGGATATGCTATAGAATGGTACAAGGTTTTGTAGTACCTGTAGAAATAGCTTTAAGCACTCAATCTCTTTACAGAGTCTTGGGATGTAAACAATGCATTGATTATATAAATTACCTTTAATAAAGCATTTCCAGGTGTGTTAAAGAATCTCCTGTTTGCCTTTCATGGTTTAGTCAGGTCCTCAGCTTTTTTTAAAATAGGCTATTCCCAGCTTAAAGACCTGTTCTAATTCCCAGTACCTCCCTTGCTTTTTGTGAATGTACACTCATTTCTGTTTCTCTTAAATAGTATGAGTTCATTCCCAGACTATTAAACGAAGGTAACTCTTTCTTAATAGTTGTGCTTGAAATTTATGACAAAGCTAGAATTTTTGTTAAACAGTCGTACAATGTATAATAGTGATACATTAATAATACCTCTAATTTTATTGTGCCACATATCCATATTCAACAAATGTCAAATTCCTTGATTCCTAAACGAATCTATTGGCAATTTATCCTGTACGTGACTAACTTTACATTTCAAATGCTATACTTAATTGTTTATTATGAAATGACCTAGGAAAATTTAGTTGAGCTTTTTTTTCTTCACATAAATAAAACTCATTTTTTACTTTTTCAGTTCATTAGTGCAGATGTACATGGAATTTGGTCACGGTTGTTTTGTGATTTTGGTGATGAATTTGAGGTTTTGGATACAACTGGAGAAGAACCAAAAGAAATTTTCATTTCAAACATAACACAGGTATGATTATAGTAATGAATTTTTAAATTGTTAAGAGTTGATAAAAATGCTATTTCCAAAAGCTGGTATCAATAGAATGCTGCATAATGAACTTTTTTCATTTGTGGTTTTCTAAGATAATGAGGACATACTTTATTAATTGCTTTGACTACATTATGCTGACTTAACTTCAAATTGGAATAGTGTTAAATCTGTTTAGATAACCACTAATATTATTTATTACTTGACAAAACAATTTCTTCTTCTTATAAATTTTAATTTTTATTCTATGCCATGTATCTATGGGACATGAGTTATAATTCAGCATTTACTAGACTGTTTACTGTGTCTGGTCATGGATTCAATAAATATGTCATAAATCACCTGACCCAGTTATTTTTAAAAGTCACACTTAAGCAGACAAGAGGTTTTCTAATCTGTTCTATTTCTAAAATAATAATTATAAAACAGAACATTTTTAAGAATTAACCTAAATATCGAAAGTAAATTTTTAACCACATTTGCTTGGTTTCATGTAAAGTTAATTTTTGTTCTCTAAAATGACTGTGGAAATGTTTATTATATCACTTTAATACTTTATTTTTAGCCTAAGAAATTTATTTTCTATGTATTCTTTGTAATTTAAAGTCCCAAAGAAGCAAAATGCAAAGGAATAATAATATATTTTGTCAAAATAGTATTTGTGCTTCTAACTTTATGCTTTATTTTAATATTGCATTTTCTAGCCCTTTTTAAGGAAAGGTCATTGAAAATCATTTGTGTATCTTTCTGCTTAGTGAATGTGTTGTTCCACTTGAATTATTCTTTCAGTAATGCTTTAATTAACCTTTAGCTTTCTATAATTGGTTGTAGCTTCTCCCTAAGAATAGCATATGTTAGAATAAGCTCTTAAATAATACGGATTCTTTTTTGTTTTATTTGAAAGTATTTTTTAATTGATTTTTTTGTGTATGTGTATTTCATACAGAACATCCCAAACCATCTTATTCATCTTTATATGCACATTTCAAATGGCACCCTCCCATAGCCTCCCCTCTACCCCCCACTGGAGCCCACATGCTCTGTCATTCCTGTTACTGTCCACAGTGTTATCAGTGCCCCCAGCTGTTACCCAGTGCTAGTCCATCCTCTAAATCTAATCAGCCTATCTAGAGTTCCTTGTTTTAGGAAGATCATCTCTTCCTCAGCTAGCAGCAATCAGTTGCCAACATTCCTTTAGATAAGATTGGGTTATACTGTTCATTTTACCATTTCTAGTCTCTTGGGCCACCCTGGCCCATAAATCAAAGGAAGATATCTCCTATCTGGCATTGTTTCTTGTTATGTAGCCTTTAGCGATACATGTGGACTCTGAAAGAATTATACGATGACTTTATTCTTGGGTTATACTTTCCTTTTGGGTGTTTAAGACAGTACAGTTGGCCCAGATTAACCAATTTATATTTACCTTTAAGGTCGTTTGAGGATCTGTTCTTCAGGGGTCACATGGGCTTGGGAGGAGCCCCTGGCTCCATTCTTTTACCAGTTCCATCTATGTGAAGATAAGTCAAAGGTCCTACTCAAATTTGGCTAGCTTCACTTGGAAGCATGGAGGAAATGTTTCCTCTGTGTTGACCCTCATCTTTGTAGACTGGACACTGGTTCAAGTCCATCTCGTGGGGTCTCCACGGCCTCCTTGATCAAAAGGACAGGTGACCAACCATAGTTACAGATCATTTTGAGATATGCTTCATAGTCCCCTGGAACATAGTCGACCTTGGAGAGCAAGGAACAAAAAGTGTCCTTTAAGTCCCTTTGACCAGTTTAGTATAGGCCTCAAAGTATGGCTGTTGAACATCCAAGAAGGTTAGTTCCACCAGTCTGGTACTTTTAATTACCATGCACTACATAGATAAAGCTTGGGCAAAAACCAAACATTCTTTTATAAACCTTGATTAGACATATATTATGTACCTTGAGCTAGTTGTATGTACAATTTGTCAGGTTGTTAGACTAATATGGTTCCCTCTGTTTTTAATAAAACTAGCTAGGCATTATTTATCTCTTTCATTGTGTAACCCTTCCACCATGGTTTCTCCATTTTTTCATTTCTCCCTTAATAACACCCTTCTCCTGTGGTCTCCTCTTTTGAGCTTCTCCTTTCACTTTATCACAGTTCTTGTATAACCCTCCCTCCACCCTCCCATTAAAATAACCCCATTTTTATCCATACCTCCCTTATTAACACCTATTTTCTACTGTTCTTCTTTTTCAGATTCTTTTCCTTTACCTCCCTGGTTCCTTTTCATTATCCTGGTTTCTATAGTTATGTCTGAATACATACTCATTTATAGAGATTTGGTGCTAGGATCCATATAAGAGGGAGAACATACATTGTTTTTCTAAGTCTGTGTTACTTCACTTAGTATAACAGTTTCTGTTCCATCCATTTACCTGCAAATTTGACTCTTTACTGCTAAGTAGAACTCCATCTTATAAATGAACCACATTTTCATTATCCACTCATCAGTTGAGGGAGACCTAGATTGGTTCCATCTCTTAGCTATTGTGAAAAGAGCAGCAACAAACATGGGTGTACAACTGTCTCTCAATAGGATGAATTCTTTGGGTAACTGGGTCAAATGGTATAACTGGGTCAATAGGTTCATTTGTAGTTTTTTAAGAGTTCTCCTCACTGCTTTCTATAGGAGTTTGCAATCCACCAGTAGTGGAAAGGCGGTCCCCTTTCCCCACATCCTCTCCACCATTTGGTATCATTTGTTCTCTTGATCTTTGTGCTGGATAGCTTTAGTGTCAACTTGACACACCTGGGTTGAGGGAGCCTCAGTTGGGGAATTGTCTCTATTGGACTGGCCTGTGGCCATTTCTAAGGGGCATCTTCTTGATGAGTGGTGTGGGAGGGCCCTGCCCACTGTGGGTGGTGCCACCCCTGGGCAGGTGGGCCTATGTAGCATAAGAAAGCAGGCTGAGCAGGGGCCAGGGGAGCAAGCCAGTAAGCAGCATTCCTCCATGGCCTGTGCTCCAGCTCCTGCCTCCAGGTTCCTGCCCTGAGTTCCTACCTTGGGCTTCATGATGAACTGTGACCTGGGAGATGTAAGATAAATAAACCCTTTCCTCCCCAAGTTGGTAGTGGTCAGAGTATTTTGTCACAGCAATGAAGAAACAAACTAACACTATCTTAGCCAGTCTGCCTGGAGTAAGATGAAATCTTAAAGTGGTTTTAATTAGCATTTCCCTAATTACTAATGATGTTGAACACCTTCTAAGATGCTTCTTAGCCATCTTTATTTCATCTTTTGAGAACTCTCTGTTCCGCTCCTTAGCCCATCTTTTAATTGGGTTACTTGATTCTTTGATTCTTGATTCTTTGATTCTCTTTGGGTTCTTGATTCTTTGTTTGTTTTTTTGAGTTCTTTATATATTCTGAATGTTAAATCTCTGTCCGATGTGTTTCTGGAGAAGATTTTCTCCCACTCTGTGGGTTTCTCTTCACTTCCTTGGTTGCTTCTTTTGATGTACAGAAGCTTTTTAGTTTAGTGGGGTCTCATTTATTGATTCTTGACCGTGTTTCCTGAGCAATAGATGTCTGGTTTAGTAAATCCTTTCCTACACCTATATCTTGTAGGTTTTTGCCAACGTTTTCTTCTAACAGTTTCAGAGTTTCAGGTTTCACATTGAGGTCTTTGATCCATTTGGAGCTGACTTTTGTGCAAGGTGAAAGAGAGGGTTTTAGTTTCATTCTTCCACAGGTGGAGATCCAGTTTTGCCAGCACCATTTGCTGAACATGCTGTCTTTCCTCCAGTGAATGTTCTTGGCCCCTTTGTCAAATATCAGGTGGCTGCAATTGCATGTACTCATATTTGGATCTTCAGTTTTGTTCCACTGATCTGCGGGTCTATTTTTGTGCCAGTACCATGTTGTTTTTATGACTATAGCTCTGTAATACAGTTTAAAAACTGTATAGTAATCCCTCCAGCATTGCTCTTAGTGCTCAGGGTTTCTTTGGCTATCTGAGGTCTTTTGTGCCTCCATTTGAATCTTAGGAATTTTTTTTCCAATTTTGTAAAGAATGTCATGGGGATTTGATTGGCATTGCATTGAATCTATAAATGGCTTTGGTCAGATGGTCATTTTTACAATATTAATTCTTCCAATCCATGAGCATGGGCAGTCCTTCCATCTTCTGATGTCTTCCTCAACCTCTTTCTTTAAAGACTTAAAATTTTGATTGTAGAGCTGTTTAATGTCTTTGGTCAGGTTTATTCTGAGATATTTTATTTTTTACAAAAGAAGCATTCCCATTGAAATCAGGAACCAGGAAGGGCTGTCCACTATCTCCACTTCTCTTTAACATAGTTATATGTTATATGTTATTGGTATATAACTATATAACATATAACTATGTTAAAGAGAAGTGGAGATAGTGGACAGTCTTGTCTGGTTCCTGAGTTTAATGGGAATGCTTCCAGTTTTTCTCCATTTAGAATGATGTTGGCTGTGGGTTTGTTATATATGGCTTTAATTATGTTTAGTTATGTTGAGGTATGTACCCTCCAGTTCAGTTCCCTCTAGGACTTTGAACATAAATGCATGTTGAATTTTGTCAAAGGCCTTCTCTGCATCTATTGAGATGACCATGTGGTTCTTGTCTTTGAGTCCATTTATATGATTTATGACATTTATTGACCTAGGTATATTGAACCATCCCTGAATCTCTGGGATAAAGCCGACTTGATCATGGTGGATGATCTTTTTGATGTGTGTTTGTATGTGGTTTGCAAGTATTTTGTTGCGAATTTTTGCATCTATATTCATTAGGGGTATGGGTCTATAGTTTTCGTTTTTGGTTGTATCTTTACCTGGTTTTGGTATTAGAATGATGCTGGCTTCATAGAAGGGATTTGGAAGTTCTCCCTCCATTTCTATCTTTTGTGAATAAGTAGTATTGGATATAGGTCTTCTTTAAATGTCTGTAGAATTTTGCTGTAAATCCATTTGGTCCTGGGTTTTCTTTAGTCAGAGGTTTTGTATTGCTGTTTCAATTTCCTTATGTGTTATGGGTCTTTTTAAGCTATTTATCTCTTCTTGGTTTAGTTTTGGTGGGTCCCATGCTTTTAGATAACCTGTCCATTTCTTTTAGGTTTTCAAATATAGTAGCATATAGGTTTTTAAAGTAGTCCCTTTGGTGTCTGTTGTGATGTTTCCCCTTTCATCTCTGATTTTGTTGATTTGGAGGTGCTCTTTCTTTTGGTTAACTGGGCTAGGGGTCTGTCAATCATGTTTGAGTTTTCAAAGAACCAGCTCTTGGATTCATTGAGTCTTTGTATTGTTTCCTTTGTTTCTATTTCATTAATTTCTACTCTGATTTTTGGTATTTCTTTTTGTCTGCAGGGTTTGGGTTTCATTTGTTGTTGCTTTTCAAGTGTCTTGAGTTGCAGTGTTAAGTCATTTGTTTGTGTACTTTCTGATTTTTTAATGTAGGCACTTAGAGCTATAAACTTCCCTCTAAGGACTGCTTTCAATGTGTCCCAGAGGTTTTGTTGTGTTGTATTGTCCTTTTCATTTAGTTCCAGGAATGCTTTTCTTTCTTAATATTTTCTTTGACCCATTCATCATTCAGGAGTGTGTTGTTTAATCTCCATGTGTTCATGTAGTTACTAAGGTTTCTTCCGGTGTTGATTGTAAGCTTTATTGCATTGTGGTCTGATAGAATGCGTGGAATTATTTCAGTCTTTTTGTATTTGTTGAGGCTTGTTTTGTGCCCCAGTATGTGGTCAGTTTTGGAGAAAATTCCACGGGGCGCTAAATAGAAAAATGTATTCTTTGGTGCTTGAGTAGAATATTCAGTAGATGTCTGTTAGGTCCATTTGATGTATGGTATTGTTTAATTCAGATGTCTCTGTGTTGATTCTCTGTCCTGTTGACCTATCCAGTGGTGACAATGGGGTACTGAAGTCCCCTACTATTAATGAGTCGGTATTAATCTGGGTCTTAAAGTCCTGTAGTACTGTTTTTATGAAGTTAGGTGCACCAGAGTTTGGTGACCATATGTTCACCTTCTTGGTCAGTTGTTCCTTTGATGAGAATGAAATGGCCCTCTTTATCTCTTCTGATTAGTTTTAGTTTGAAATCTATTTTGTCAGATACTAGAATTGCAACTCTTGCTTTTTTCTTGGTACCATTTGCTGAGAATATTTTTTACTATTCTTTCATCTCTAAGGTAGTGCCTGTCCTTGAAAGTGAGATGGGATTTCTTGTAGACAACAGAAAAGATGGGTTTTGTTTCTTAATCCATTCAGCTAGTCTGTGTCTTTTGACTGGGGAGTTCAGTCCATACATATTTAAAATTACTAATGAAAGATGTGTATTGATTCCTGTGGTTTTGATTTCTGTTTGCATTCTTGGTGTAACTGTCCTTTCCAGTTATACCTTCATTATGTTTCTTTCTATTACCCCTTGGGTATAGTCATTTCTTTCTTCAGCTCTTTGTATTGCTTCAAGGAATCTCTGAAGGGCTGGTTTTGTGGACATGAATTCTTTCACCTTATTTATGTCATGGAAGATTTTTCTTTCCCCTTTGACTATAATAGAAATTTTGGCTGGGTAAAGTAATTGGGTTGGCATCTGTGGTCGTTTAGAACTGGGAATACTTTGATCCAAGCTCTTCTAGCTTTCATAGTTTGCACTGAAAAGTTAGCTGTGATTCTGATGGGTTTTCCTTCGTATGTGACTTGTTTTGCTTTTGCAGCTTTCAGTATTCTCTCTTTCTTCTCTATGTTTAGTAGTGTTTTTACTATGATGTGCCATGGGGAGTTTCTTTTCTGGTCCTGTCTATTTGGTGTTCTATCTGCTTCTTGTATTTGTATGGGCATGTATTTATTTAATTTCGGGAAATTTTCTCATACAATCGTGTTGATGATATGGTCCATACCATTATCCTGAGATTCTTCTCCTTCCTCTATGCCTATAGAATTTGGTCTTTTTATGGTGTCACACAATTCCTGTATATTCCATTCTTGTGTTTTCTTAAATTTTTCATAATCTTTCCTTGAGTGGTCTAATTCGTCCTGTCTTCCAGTCTTGATATTCTATTTTCCATTTCATTCATCCTATTGATGAGGTTTTCTCCTGTCATTTCTAACTGGCATATTGAGTATTTCACTTCCTTCTTCATTTCAGCCTGAGTATTCTTCAATATTTCTAACTCTTTTCTGAATTCATTCAGAAGCTTATCCCTATCTTCTTTCAGTTCTTTGATTTGTTTATGTGTTCTTTAAATTCACTGAATTCTTTTATCATGTTTATAATTGTTCTTTTGAATTCCATGTCCTGTGTTATCTTTAGGGTGCTCTAATTGTACTCCTCTACAGGACTGTTGGTTCTTGGTAGGGTTATATTATTTGGGTTTTTCATGTGATTGTTTTTTCGCAGTGTCTTTGACATGTGAATTTTCTTTTGTAGTTTCTGATTCTTGCCTGAGACTCAAGCCTTTCTTTGTTGAGTTGAGGTCTGCTTCTTTTTTATAAACTTTTTGTGCTTTTGTGGTTTTCTTGTTGGTCATGAAGAGCTGGTTGGTCTAGGCTTCAGGTTCTCTCCTTTGATTTTATATTGGAGGAGCCAGACGGCTTTCGTCCTGCTGCTCAAGAGTTGCTACAGAGGCCCTAGTTGGATGAGGATAAGATGCTCTCAGTCTTTCTCCTAAGGTCTGGATTCCTCCAGGATAGATGCTGGCCTCAGGAAGTTGGGGGCTGGGCTAGTCTGGGACCAGGGCCTGTCTCAGGCATGCCAAGGCAAGGTAGGGGAGGGAACAGGCCTAGAGGGCTCCAGGGGACTAGACCTAGGAACTGCGTTGGTCTGGGTGGAAAGGGTCTGGAAGCAGTGGGGAGTCTGTGCCAAGAAGGCACTCCAGATGTCTGGGGTGTCAAGAGAAGAAATGGGCCAGTGCCCATGCTAGGAGGAGAGATGGGGTGGGGGAGTCAAGGCATAGTGGGTGTTTGGAGGAACTTACCCAGGAAAGAAGCTGGCCCCAGGAAGCTGGTGGCTGTGCTACCCAGAAATGCAAAGCTGATGTCAGTAATACGGATTCTTGTATTGCAGTGTTACCTACTTCTGCATTATGGAATAGTGCAAGAAATAAGCTAATAAGCTACAGTGTATTTCTTCATTTTAAACAATGAGCAAGCTGTAACCTGTCATTTTCTTATCTTTAAAAATCTCCATCTGCCTTTTATAATTAAACTTTCTGAGTCAGGCTCCTAATCTTTTATGTGCCAGCTGTTGTTTTTTTTTTTTCAAACAGTTTGAAATATTTAGTGACTTTAAATGTGTCTTACAAGTTGAAAGAATTTTTGACTTTATGAAATATTTAAGCTTCTTGTGAAATTTCTCCAACAAAGTTATAATTCAGCATTCTTTAAAAATACAGTAATAAGATGATTATTTTATGACAGTTCTTTTGTGTCTTTTTTTTTTTTACTAATGTAATTGGCTTAGAGTTTTTGATTGAGAATTTTACAATGTTTTGTGTGAGGTTTGGAATTTGTACTAATATAATACACAGATTTGGTTTTTAATAGATTAGTCTGATTTTTAGGGTAATCCTGGTATTGTCACTTGTCTTGAAAATCATCCTCACAAGCTAGAGACGGGGCAGTTCCTAACATTTCGAGAAATTAATGGAATGACAGGTTTAAATGAATCTATACAGCAGATAACTGGTAAGTTGATGTATTTTATTCTTTTATAACTTTTCATCACATTTATAATCATATACTATATTTATTGTTCAGAATGCATTAACTCAGATAGATCTGATTCGTAGCATAGCCTCAGAGCATTGCATTCAAAGGAGGACGTATTAAACAGTGATAATGTTAAGAGAGGATAAGCATTCTTACAACTCTAAATTGAATCTATTCAGTTTGTTGACAGCGGCAGTGAGGACAGGGTGTCTGAAGACTGCATTGGTGGGGAACATGTTACAAACGAGTGTTCTTTGCAGAGAATCTCTAGTATGAGACAGAATTCAAGGAACTGTGAGAAATACACTGTGATAAGGCCTGACATGACAACACAACACCTATAATCTCAGAATTCTGAGTTCCAAGTCAATGTGTGCTATATAGTAAAATTCTGTCTCAAACCAGAAAAGGAAGAAAGTAAAGACATACACTCTGAGACAAGGCAAATTGAAATTTCAAACCTTAGAGTACATTTAGGAAGACATTTAATTATCAAAAATGGTAAGTGAACAAAGATTCCTAATTAGGCAGTTTTCTTCCAGAATAGAAGAAATAGTATATAGATTTTAGAGAAAAGATATGAGTAAATTTAGGCTTCTTGAGTGAGTTGGCAATGACATACTAAGTACATAGTCTATGTGTTTTGTTCAGTGGCTTGAATAAAAATGGTTTTATCTGTCAGCAGTGGCAAGTTTGTAAGGTTGAAATTCAGGGTTAAGAAGTTGAAGGAGTCTCTTCCCACCCCAATTTTTAGGGGACTAATTATTGTTCAAAGTAGAAGGAAGATGCTAAGGCCAGACTTTTGAGACCATACTTGGTTTTTTTAAAAAATATTTTTTTATTTTACATATATGCGTGTATTGCCTATATGTATGAAAGTGCACCCATGTCATGCAGTGCCCGAGGAGGTCAGAAGAGGGCATCTGATTCTCCTGGAACTGGAGTTAGTTGCCATGTGTTGGGAATTGAACCCAGGTCTTCTGCGAGAGCAGCCAGTGCCCTTAACCACTAAGCCAACTCTCCAGGCCCTAAAGAGAATATTTGATTTTAAAAATGAAAGACTTTAAAATTACAGGCATTCTGTAGGGCCCATTCGAGATGAATTCATACCAGCATTAATCTACATAGTGTTTGAAAGATAAAGATAATGCTAGGCAACCTAACTTAAAATGGTATGGTGTATTTATACATGCACAAAGATGATAATTCAGTTTTTATCCTTAGACATTTGAAAAATGCAGTTTTGTGTGGCTGCCCCTGTCTACATGTCTACCAATAATGAATAAGAATTCTTCCCCACAACCTCACCAGCATTTGTCAGCATTTGTTTTCTTGATGATAGCCGTAGTGACTGGGATGAGAATCTCAGTAGTTTTAATTTGCGTTTCCTTGGTGGCTAAAGATGCTGAATGCTTTTTAAAATTTTTATTGCTGTTTTTGCTTCTTTTGAAAACTATTCAGTTAATTGATCCATTTCCTGAGTAACAGTCTTGTGATGTTTTTTTAATTCACAATTCTTTGTATATTGTAGATATTAGTCCCTTGTGTGAAATATAGCTGGCAGATACTTTCTTCCATTCTGTAGGCTATCTCTTCACTCTGCTGATAGTGTCTTTTGCTATACAAAAATTTCGATTGCATTTGAGTACACGTATCTTAAGATATACAGGTTCAGATCATAATATTAATGAATGTATCTTGTGAAAATTGACCAAGTTAGTCATTTGGTATTACCATTGTTTACTTTGGGAACCTTGTAGTAACGGATTGGGGTGATAGATCAGATTGTTAGAGCTATCTATATAGGAAGAAGCTACCTGATTTCAAAGAATGAAGATTTTTAAAAACCCACATTATTGCCAAAAAATTATTTGGGTATAAAAGATATTTAAATAGAGCTGTTGTTTCTAAAGCTCTTTTTTAAAAACATTTACTGAGTTGGTGCTTACTGTCTTAAGATACTTTTGTTGATAGGAAAAACATTGTTAAAATGCTAAAACAATGCATGCTTATTCTAGAAATAGGTGTGCGTGTGTGTATATATATATATTTTTTTCATATAGTATTATATGAATATATTTATGTATACATACACATGCCCTTAAGTAGGGTTAGAATTGAGTCCCATTTTAGACTTCTTCCTTTCTCCAGAGAAAGGACAAATAAGCTGGATATCTGCTTACTTTTTGTGCTTAATATATTACTGTTGACTACTGATTCATATATTAAGTATTATAAACTTGTGGTAACTATTGAGGGGCTTAGTATTTAAGTTAATTTGTTTTAATGATTAAATGGTTCAAAAATGTAGTAAATTGACAGTAAAAATTTTCTTGCATGTCCTTGGCTGTTCCTCCCGCCTCAGCTTCACCCACCTACCACAGGTTTATTTTATATCATTTCAGAGTTTCCTTATGTTTCCTTACACAGAAGGTAGCATATTTTCATGGCACTGTCCTTGCCCCTTCATTAAATAAAATGTCTTGCTGATCTTTTTGCATTGTTAATTGCAGATTATTTTTGTAGTTATATAATAATTCATGATATGGATGGAAAGATTACCAGAGCATAAGACCTTTTCATATTATAAATGAAATTGTATATCTTAAGTTTTAAAGCTATTTATAATTTTTCTCCTGTGCTTTATATATATTTTTTTTCAATTCTTATCTACAGGGAATATTTTCCCTGGTGATTTTGTTTCCCAAAGATGAATAATATCAATTTTTCTTCATTAGTTTGAAGTATACTACCTTTATTTGGGGCCGTTATTTTGTCTGTGTACTTGACTGTATTTCTGAATTCTGTGATCTTCTCCTTTTGTCTAAAACTCACACTGGAAAAAATTCTTGGTATAACTCCCCACAGATCACCCTCACTATAAAAAGAAAAAAAAATGTATTAGAATCTTAGGTTTATAAATAGAGGAAAATTAATATCTTTGTGATACTGTCTTCATATCTATTTCCATGTATAATGGATTTCTTTCTTTTCTTGTAGTGATATCACCCTTTTCTTTTAGCATTGGTGATACTACAGAACTGAATCCATATTTACATGGAGGCATAGCTGTACAAATTAAGACTCCTAAAACATTTTGCTTTGTAAGTATTTTTTGTCTGTTAAAAAAAAAAAATTCTTACAGAAAAATAACCCAAAAGAGTGAAGTACCCACTTATCCCAACAGTTAGCATAAAGTCTGATGTCTTTGTTTTTATTATTTTAATTATACCCACTTTGAAGAAAATGAAATTAATTTAGGAATAATCCAAATCTCTGAAAATGAAAAATAATTTATGGGCCTGGAGCTATGTATGGCTCAGTTAGCGAATATTTCCTTAGTATATGCAAGGCCCTGGCCGGGTTCAGTTCCTTAAGTACATACATAAACTTACACATTTTATAACTAGAATACCACATGTATGATTGAAAGCTGTCCCCTCCCAAATAGTGAAACTACTTATTTCTTAAGTATAGTGAAACTACTTACTTCACACTATTTACTTCCTAAGACAAGAGATAAGATGAATGCAAGTCACAAGTTGTAAGAAAGGCCTTTTTTGCTTTGTTACTTAATTTTTAACAACAAAAAAAGGTTTTTAATGGTTAATTTGTGTTTTGTTATTTTAATTTGTGCTGTAGCCAGGTATTTGAAATGTAAAGTAATCCCCTTTAGCTCTTCCCAGTGAAAAAGAAAACCATATGCTGCTGAATAAAGAACATGTATAGAGACTGCTTCCATACTGGAACTAAGGGTGGTGGTATTGTGGGTTTTAGGGAATTTTAATGTCATTGTTTTTTGTTTGGTTTGGTTTTTTCCATCAATAAAGAAAACAACTGTAGTCTTCTTCAAGGCTTTGTTCAAGCCAAAGTTAAGGCAGTTCAAATAGGACAGCTAATCAGATCTGCTGTGTACTTTCTCTTGCCCTGTACCTGAATTAAATGAATAGTCTGCATCGCAAATAATTCATATGGGGTGGTATTTAGGAAATTACCGTTTTTTAGATTTTTCGTTGTTTTACCTTCATATTGTTTGTTCCACAACTACATACAAGATTTTAACTTGGATTTATCAGGCATACATCTCAATTATTTGATGATAGCAAAAGAAATGTGGTAACTTTTGCTTTAAGACAAAGTTTTAGGAGTAAGTGATGTTTTCACTAATTCTTCTGAAGTTTGCTATGTGGAAAAACTGTTTTCAGTACAAAATGAGATGTAAATAAACAGTCACTGTGAACTTCACAGTGTGGTTGCCACAAATCTGTCCAACCTTACTGATTTTCATTCTTGGGGAAAGGTCCATTGTTTTTACTATGCATGTAATAGTATATCTTGCCAAATAATCACTCACTTGTGAATAATGTTTTTTTCTTTTAGGAAACATTGGAGAGGCAGATAAAACATCCAAAGTGCCTTACTGCGGATTTTAGCAAACCTGAGGTAAGTAAACACTTTGCAGGTTTCTTGAAAGAGGCAACAGAGTAGGGGATGGGAATTGGTAAGTGATTGTAAAGATAAAGAGGAATGGAGTAATCCTGTTGTCAGATTTTCTTAATAAAGGCTATACTCATGTCTAAAAATGACTGAGATTTAAAATGGGAATTTGTATCATGAAAGAGATGTTCAATTAAAATAGTTTTATTTTATAGTGATTTGTCAGCTTCGATAATTAAAAATTTTAATAACAGTATGTTATTAAAAGATTTTTCTTAGCCATGCAGACTTTCATTACATGTTTACGTATTAATTTTGTGTACACATATGCGTGTTGTGTGCGAGTGATACCACAGCTTGTATGTGGAGGTCAGAGGTCAAACTCAGGTCACCAAGCTTTGTAGCAAGCACCTTTACCTGCTGAGCCAACTCACCAACCCCAGAATTTTTATGTAGTACAAAAAATAACAGCCTTAACCATATGCTGTATTCTACTTTTTACATCACTGGATATGATTTTTTTTTAGCAAAAAATGTGTTTCTGGTAAGAAATTAATATTTCCAACATTATAAATACCAATAAGGACAAAACCTAAATTATCTCATACAAATGTTTTGTTACTGGTATTTAGCTAATACTGCCGTTAATTTTCAAATGAATAACCTAGCAAACACTAGTCACGTAACTTAGAGTTGAGATTTGGAAATACTCCTTTTAATACATTTATGACTTTAAAGTCAAATCATTTTAGTTCTCTGAGGGCATAGTATTATACTCATGTGTTTATTGTGAGAATGAAATTAAATGATAGTTGAAAAACTTAGTACATAGTAAGCACATAACAAATGTTGACCAGTTTTTCATGTTCTTAAATAGGCACCTTTACAGATTCATGCAGCTATGCTTGCCTTGGACCAGTTTTGGGAAAACTATAATCGTAAGCCAAATATCAGGTAATACTTTTTGTTTTAAAATAACTATTCTCTTTAATAAAAGCAGTATTTCAAAAATAATAGATTTAAGAAACTAATAACTAAGTCTCCCATAACCATATTACTAATAAATATGCCAAATTGCATAAACATTTATTATGAGTTTTGAGATTATTGATAGGAGTGAAAAGATCAGTTTATAGGAACGGAATCATAATAAATGGATAGTTTCATATTCAAAACCTAAGTACAACTTCTAAAATGAAAACCTCTGCTGACTAGTGAACTATTAATCTGTGATAACATTTTTCCTTCTAACCTAAATCAGAACTTGCAAAGTTTTTGCCTTGTGTATTTAAATCTAAATTTTACATGCGTCTTAGGTGACCATGATTTTGAAGTAATGTATTTATAAGCCAGCTACTTATATCAGCAAAACACATGATACTGCATTGCTAGCAAAATTTTCCATTCTTTTACATATATGTGTAATATATGTGTGACATTTTAATTTAAAATATAACCTATTTGTGGAAATTCAGAAAATTGAAGTGGAGGTATTTTTCCTTTTATTGAATTTGTATGAATTTCATATAAAATTTTTTGATCATATTTAGATCTACCCTATCTGCATTCCCCCTTATTAGTCCCCATCCTGTTTCATATACTCTATTTTAGATAGATGGATGGATGGATGGATGGATGGATGGTTGGATGGAGAGAGAGAGAAAGAGAGAGAGAGAGAGAGAGAAAGGGAAAGGCCTAGAGTCACATTTGTGTTCCCAAACATCCTTGATATTATTTTTCCTTTTTTTATTGAATTTTTACAAATTTCATGTATTTTTTTTCTTGTATGAATTCTAAGAGACATTACATTCAGAATTATAGCACTCAGTGATAATTTTCAGAAGACTATAACAGCTTCTTTGCCTTAAAGGGTACACAAGGTGCAGCTCTTTTACCTGAAGTACTCTTAAATAACTTGACTACTACCACTCTATTTCCTAGTTGTAGCTCTGTTACGGGTTACTGACCACAAAGTTCATGGTCCAGACTTTCTTTGCCAACAAATTACATGGGAGCGATCCCCAAGTCGCAGGGTGAATTGGGAAAGGGCCTGTTAAATGAAGAAACACGTCATTCCTTTGTAAAAGTTTGTAGTTTTCTTTCCCAATACATCTTCTTTATATTGAGAACTTCCATTTTTACCCTGTGTTCCTCTTCTGCCATCTCACACTCAGGCTCTATCTGCTGGATTTTTGCCACATGCACCTCATTCATTTGAATCGGCCGCAGCTGTAAGATGGACATCTGTTGGTGATGCTCTTCCTCGTGCATCTCTTTTAAAGCACCTTCCTGAGGAGTTTTGCTCCTGTAGTTTTTATTGGCTGTTATTCTGACAGCTGAACATGAAAGTTCAGGTTGCGAGGTCCCTCACATACCGGGAAATGGATGAACTCTTTCTCATCATCACACAGTTCTCTATTTGAAACAGCAAAAGATTCTTGGGCAGCAGCGTCAGGGTGGTATTCGGGCTCCTCCTCGGGAGGACTCTGCAGGAAGTAGAGCTGGTTCAGGCAGCATGCTGCTGATCTTTTCCTCCCCAAGGACATGGGTACTCAGCAGTGGGCTCCCGCTCTGCTTCACCTTCTCCGTCCTCTCATGGGCCATTATTATTTTGGTCTGAGCCTTGATGTTCTCCTAGCACTTCTTCAGCTATTTGAGATCTGGGCAGCAACACACTAGGCTGAGAGTTGTGCTCCTGGGCCAGCGCTTGCCAGGTTCACTGCTTGAGGTTGATAATTCGTGCATCACTCTCCTTGCACTCCAGGACATATTTGTACTTTTCTACTAAAGCCAGCAAGATACTTTTTTCCAACTCTGAGAAATATTTGGCAGGTTAATTTCGTTGTTTTGCATTTTCCACACTCTTTCTCCAGGTCGTTAGCTCTCCTGCAGCGGCGGCGGGCCTCTGTCCAGAGAAGAGCGGGGGCGGCGGCCTGGGCTGGTCGCAGGCTGCTAGGCCAGGAAGGCCATGGGCTCCCAACACCAGGCAGCAGTGGTGCGCCTGCGGCTGGCCAGGCCGCCGC